CTGAACCTGGCTCTCTCCTCATCACCGCATGCTCCAAGAGTGCCCTGCCTCCAGAGGAAAACTCTAACCACCTCTGGACGATGTGAGTGAGTAAGCTACTAGAGATCCAATTAGATATTTAGCTTCAGTAACTCAGATGCGTGTTTAAACGGCTACCTCAGCCACCCTGGTTTGCTCTATGGGATTCCTCTGATATTCCTGTAATATTTCTATGATATTGCTCTACCTTTTACCCTGTTTCCGCCCTACCCCTGTAATCAATGAAGTTCTCCTTTGTGACTCGTGTGGGAGACTTATTGAGGGGTAGGTCTAAATTATGCCGAGGAGGCCCCTTAGGTCGGTGGACTAAGGGAGGCTTCCCTAATCAGCCCCTGACTTGGGAAGTGCCCCAAGTGCTTGTATTGGGTCTAGTACCCATTGGACGATCAGGCCTGTGTTTTCCAAGGTGCGCAGAGCCAGAAGTGAGTCCAGAGCCTTGGATGGTGGCAGCGGGAACCCCAGGCTAGCGGGTGTGCTCCAGGGAAGGGGTCGGCCGGACGGGAGGCACCCCAAGGGAGGCACTCGGAGCCTGGAAGGTGGTCGGGCGCAGTGAGGTGGGCGGCTCAACGCAGGAGCGCCCCCTAGTGGCCCGCCACACAGCCGACATGGCCACGTACTACTGTGCCAGGGGAGCAGTGGCACAGGACAATGGGCTTTCCGTACAAAAACCCTCCTGCCCCGAGTGCGAGTACGTCCTGGCACTGACACACCACCATATTCATCTGTAGTAAGACATGCAGAGAAGGGACTCGCCTTTCAGACAGACTCACCACCTCTCCCGTGTCTCAGAGCTGTGCATTTCTGCCCAGAGCCTTGGGTGAAATACGGCCATTTAGGAGCCCAGGGACACTACTGCAAGGCCTTTCCTGAGGTATGGACATCATAGCACTGCGATCCTGGGGCTGCCTGCTCTGAATTCCTTTTCACAGCCTAGTCCCACTGGGACTCCAGCAGCCACCAACATCAGCCCAGGTCATCAGAAATCTACATGCGACAGACATAGTGGGGAGCTTTATGTTCTCCTCCTCCCACCAACTAGCAGCATGCACAGCCCAGTACTTATATAAACTTAACACCGCACCAGCCAGGGCGCCTCATAGGCCTGACCCTTATCCCAACTCTGATCCTTTGGAAAAGTTATAAAAAGGGAAAGAAACCATGGGCTTTCTGCTAAAAACCTGACTCTCCTGTTGTCTGCTTTCCTGCAAATCTATCCTGAAGGGGGAACTGGAATTTCTAAACACTCTGTGTCTCTAAGAACGGCACCATGTGGAGAGATGATGAAAAATATTTAGGTGCCCAATACCCAGTCATTCCAGAGAGAGATGTGTAAAAGCCTCCCATCACCTGTGCCCTCCCACACAGCAGGACTGCACCTGGTGAAGCCAGTGACCCTGACTCTTTGGGAATCCCACCAGGCCCCTCTTGGCATCCATTGACACCTTGCTTCTCCGAGGCTGTACCCCAACCATGGACATAGCATGATTTCACAGGTGCTGACAGGGCAGGGCTGAGCTGCAATCTGGACTCCTCACTGGAGAAGCAGAGGGATTCCCTATGTTTCCAGAAGCCCATGTCCATTGCAATAAGGGAAGAAAAAGGCCCCGGGGACTGTAGGACAAATGAGGTGTCTCTTCCCCTCCTTTAGAGCCTGAGGAGTTTTTCAATACTGGCCCTGTGAGCCCAACTCCTTTAGGGACTTCAGCCCTTTCTACCAGACACTTCTCTGCCACCAGAAACATCCAAGGACCTTGGAAAGTCTGTGCTATTTTGGCACAGGACCCATCTGGGACTCTGGGGTGATAAATCTTTGTACTTCAGAGCAACTTGCTCCCCCATACACACATGTCAAAGCCCATGAGCTCTGCATGGAGGTCATATGAACTGCAGAGAGAAGTAGCTCCAGCTTCTGCTCAGGCCGTTCTTCCTGCTCCTCTTCCCAGACCTCCCTGAAGCCCAATGGGAAAGTCAGCTGGTAAGTAGATAGGGCCCAGTCTGATTGACTCAATGACACTTATGGGTTTGCTTTCTATGAGGGGAGCAGAGCGCGCTGCCCAGCTTTGTGGGACGCGCAGCTCAAGTGCAGCTGAAATGGGCTGGGCAAATATACTACTTATCCAGCTGGAGCACAGACCATACCAGCACCTTGAAAGGCAGAATCACCATCAGCCAAGGTGCCTCCAAGAACCAGTTCTCCCTGGAGCTGTGTCCCTGACAGCTGCATACACCACAGCATGCATTACTGTGCCAGGGAAGACACAGATGCAGGGCAGGGCAGAGGCTGTGCAAAAGGGGGATGTGATTACTGTGCAGTACAGGGACATGACTGCCACGTACACAGTGCTGGGGGTCTCCAGAACTCAATGACCACAGCTTTGCCCTTTTGGGGTCTTTTTATCCTGGATCTACAGCATCCTCCACCTCCTTGGCCTGGGGGTTAGAGGCAAGAATCAGGTCTGTGAGAGGAAAAAGAGAAGCAGCAGCTCCAGGTACAGAACCATAAAGACTCTTTCACACAAGCCTCCCATTGCCACCTCCACACTTAGGGATCCTCCGCAGCCATGTCCAGTGTGTTCCCTCCTCCCGTGTTACACAAGGAAAGAACCAGGGTGATTTTAAACACAGCATCAAACCCCTGGGCCTGGTCTGCTAGTTCGTGAGTCTGATAGTACATCCTTTGGACAGGGTGATAAAGATGACAAAGAGTCACATCTGGTCCCCAGTGCCTCTGCTAACCTCACCCTGCTCACACAGGGGCACCTTTCCACCACCCCATGAGATCCAGAGGTGACTGCTCCCACCCCACAAGCATCATGGACCTGGTCCCAGCATCTCTGAGATCTCAAGCCTCAGATAAGTCCCACAGCCATGCCTGATCCAGGACAGTAGGTCCAGACAGACCCAAACATCTTGTGAGAGATGCCTGAAGAGAGTTGCTGCTACCCTGAGCAGCCTGGTGAGAGCCACGGGCTAGAAAGTGACAGCGCCCACAGTCACAAAAGCCCAGCAGAGGCAGGGTTGGGATCTGAAGAACCACAGCCAAAGCCAGCGGTCTGCAGTGACCAGAGAGGGAAGTGGACCTCCAGGGCTTTTCTGAGGAGCAGCCTAAGTCTCTGCCCAAGCCGCTTGTCACAGTCATACAGCACTGCCCAGGGAGACCCCTTGGCCCACAGGAGAGTTGGAAATCTCCAGGCCCTGAGCCCCTGCCTGCACACAACCACTACCGGGGATGCAGAGAAATCCTAGGGTAGTTACATCCTGGCCACATGCACACACCCATGCTACCCAGAGCAGACACAGCCAGAGCTGTGGGCAGGAGACAGCAGTGAGACACCTTCCTGGGGGGCCCATGGCACTGACCTGAGGGACAAGGCACTTTTATAGCTGAATCCCACAAGCCTTTGTAGGAAGGGCTGGGGCAGGAAAGCAGCTGGGCAGGACAGAGATGCAAATCCAGGGCCTCGGCCCCTGCATAAACCTGACACAGGTTCAGCCTCTGAGTCAGAAGGGAGCAGGGGGACACGTGGTCTGGCACTGCCCATCAGTCTCTCTTCAGCCCCAGCGAGAAGATGACATCTTGGGAGAAGTTTATGTTCCTCCTGGCAGCTCTGCCATGTAATTCCCCAGCCCCCACCCTTCCCCAGGCTCCTCAGAGACCCCAGGGAACCTCCTTCCCCTGACATGGAGCAGGCTCAGATCAGCAGGATGCTTCCCCATGGCTCCAGGGGCTGTGGGGTAGGCCCTGCAGGGATGCAATGCTTACAGAATTTTTCTCCCCAGGTGCCTGGTCCCAGGTGCAGCTGGTGGAGTCCGGAGGGGGAGTTCAGAAGCCCGGGGGGTCTCTGCGCCTCTCCTGCAAAGCCTCGGGATTCACCTTCAGCAACTTCTACATGGACTGGGCTCGCCAGGCTCCTGGGAAGGGCCTGGAGTGGGTTGCAGTGATTCGCAACCCAAGTAATGGTCTCACAGCAGAGTACAACAGCGCTGTTAAGGGACGATTCACCATCTCCAGGGTGGAGTCCAGCAGCACTGTATACCTGCAGATGGATAGCCTGAAAGTCGAGGACACAGCTCAGTATTACTGTGCCAGACACACAGTGATTTCAAACCTCCTGGGCTTCATACAAAAACCTTGCACAGCTGTGGGCTGTTCAGGCCAGCAGAGAGCAGCAGACACTATCTTACCAACACTAACAGGCTGAGACCAGCTCCAGGTGCCCCTCAGCTCCCTAAAGCTGCCCCCTGGCAATGACCTGCCCCCTGCACTGATCCTTCAAAGCACGTTGTATTTGTCCTATCCTAGGCAATCCCTGAGTCTGGGTGCATTCCCAAGCTCTCCTTTAACCCTGCTCTACAAACAGGCACTGAAAGACCACAGGAAACAGGGGGTCTGTGGAGACCCCTCGCACATCTTCTCTCCCCTCATGCTGGTGCCCCCACAAATGAGGCCAAGCTGCACAGGGCCACCTGGGACTCAGAGGGACAAAGATTTATCACCCCAGAGCAACCTGCTCCCCCATACACACATCAAAGCCCATAAGCTCTGTACTGAGGCCATATGAGCTGTAGAGAAAAGGAGCTTCAACTTCTGGTCATGCCTCTCTCTGGGCTCCCATACCCAGGCCTCTGTGAAGCCCAATGGGAACATTACCTTGTAAGTAGACAGGACCCAGGCTGATTGACTCAGGCAAGGTTATATCCCACTGACTAAGCAACATGTAGGTAAAGCAACCCCTGGGGGGAACAGAGTGTGCTGCCCAGCTTTGTGGTATCTGCAGCTCATTGCCAGAGTCAACAGATAGCAGTTGCTGCCTGCAAAAGACCATGGGAAGAGCAGCTGGCCTTGTCCTGGGCCCCTGGGAGACTCCCAGACCTGCAGATTCCTTTCAGGAGCTGGGGCTGGGGATGGCAATTCACAACTACCCTGGCCACCCAAACCCATGGGCAAAATGGAGACACTGGCTTTGGAGCCCATCACGCCTGGCCTCCCACCACTCCCTCTGCTGACTGGATCCAGCTGATGATGGGAACTGGATACAAGTGAAAGCAAGTTCTGGAAGTTAAAGCAGCATGGGCAAGAACTCATAGATTCATAGATGCTAGGGCTGGAAGAGACCTCAGAAGATCATCAAGTCCACCCCTCTGCCCCAGGGGAAGGAAGTCAGCAGGGATCATAGGATCCCAGCAAGATAAATATCTAAATGTCTCTTGAAGGCAGGCACTTGAATCAACTCTGGCAGCAAGCTATTCTGAACCTTGGGGGCTTGGACAGTAAAGTTCTTTCTTATGTCCAGCCTGAAACAGTCATGGAGGAGTTTGTGACCATTCAACAATGTCATCCCTTGGGGCGCTCTGGTGAACAGACAATTCTCCCAGAGCCTGGTGAGCACCCCTGATAAACTTGTAGGTGGCCACCAGATCACCCCTGAACCTGCACTTTTCCAGGCTAAAGGGTCCCATGGATCTCAGCCTCTCATCATAAGGTCTGTATTCCTGATCTCCGATTATGCATGTGGCTCTCCTCTGCACTCTCTCAAGCTTCTCCATATCCTTTTTGAATTGTGGAGCCCAAAACTGAATGCAGTACTCCAGCTGCAGCCTCATCAAGGCTGAGTACAACGAGAGAATGATGTCCTGGGATTTGCTTGAGAAGCATCTATGGATGCAAGCCAGCGTTTTGGTCGCTTTACTAGCTGCAGCATCGCATTGAAGGCTCATGTTCATCTTGTGGTCATTGATGCCCCCCAAGTCCATTTTGTCCATAGTGCTAGCCAGCGTGGCACTGCCGAGACTATAAGCGTGCTGCAGGTTTTTCCTCCTGAGGTGGAGAACCTTGTATTTTTCAGTGTTAAATACTATCAGGTTCTTGTCCACCCATTTCCTGAGCCTGTCGTCCTTCTGTCCTCAGGTGTGGATGCTTTACCCCAGAGTTTGGTGTCATCTGTGAACTTGGCGAGTCTGCTTCTGACACCAATGTTGACATCATTAATGAAGATGTTGACCAATACAGGCCCTAGGACAGAGCCTTGAGGGACCCCGCTGGTCACAGGATACCATGACGATTGACTTCCATCAACCACCATCCTCTGGGTCTGACCACGGAGCCAATTCCCCAGCCAGTGGATCGTGGTGAGGATGAGGCTGCAGTTGGCCAGTTTTGCCAAGAGGTGATCATGGGATACCAGATGGAAGGATTTTTTAGAGTCAAGATATATGACATCAATCCAGGTGATAGGTCACCTGGTTGTAAAAGGAAATAAGATTGGTCAGGCAAGACCTACCCACAACAAACCCATGCTTGCTATCCCTCAGGATGTTGCCATTGGCCAGTCTGTTAAGGATGGCCTCTTTGATAATTTTTTTTCCAGGACCTTCCCTGGGACAGAGGTCAGGCTGATGGGCCTGTAGTTTGCCAGATCCACTTTCCTCCCTTTCTTGAAGATAGGCACCACATTGGCCTTCTTCCAATCTTCAGGCACTTCACTAGAGCGCCAGGAGTTCTTGAAGATCCGTGCCAGAAGTTGGGCTATGACGCTCGCCAGCTCCTTGAGTACTCTGGGGTGCAGATTGTCAGGGCCAGCTGACTTGAAGGTAGCCAGCCTCTCAAGGTGTTCCTTCACAAGGTCAGCATTGATGGAGGGTAAGGGATCTCCCTCACCTGAGTCTGTGTTTTCACACCAGCCCCCACTTACACCAGCCCTATCCCAAGAGGACGTGGCAGCCTGCAGGTCACTCCCTGCTGTGACCCAGGAGAAGATACTGGGCAGAAGATGACCTGGGACAGAGGCATTGAGTAGGTAAGGGGGTCTGGGGGCCCTGGGCCCCTTCAGAAGAGCTCTGTCCCCTGAAATATGTAAAACTTTCCTCATGTCCATCATCTTAGCCCCGCTACCCACAGCAAAAAATAAAAGTAAGTGCCTATGACCTGGGAACTACCCTGCACAGGGAAGGAGACAGGCTGCCTGGTGCCAAGCTGTCTACATCCCTGAGGGTTTGGGCAGGGGGAAAGGTCACAGGATCTAGGAGGGCTTAGGGAATCATGGGGGAACTGGGCTCCCAGTGCTCCCTCCTCTGACAATCCCCGCATGAGGGCCCTGCCAGGCAAAGGTGATCAGGAATATAGTCCACCTGGGAGCCCAAACTGCAGTTTTTCCAACTAAGACCTCACCCAATAACCCCAGGTATCTTACCATTTCCTGGACAACCTCAGCTGCAGCATTGCTCCCTTCCTGCTGCACAAAAGAACTTTTTTTCTTCTTTTTTAAAATCTTTTTCAAGGTCAAATCAGTTCAAAATTCAATTTGGCAAAGCCCAACAGTCAAACTCCTAAATTTGGGGCTAAGGCCCCTTACTCCCCTGCTTGGGCAGAACCAGCAGCCCCATTCTGTAGTGTAGTCATCAGTGAAGGGCAGGGGCCTCAGGGTACCTGGGAACAGGGTCCCCAGTGCCTACACCCGCACCACTGGGGCAGCAACACAACCCCCAGGTTAACTCACTGACAGTGCAGACCCTCAGTCAGGGACATCAGAGACACAGAGGAGACTGAGGGGGAAGGCAGTGAGCATCTACATGGTGACCGCACAGTCAGGACCCCACATACAGGACTTGCATTCAACCCCTCTGGTCCAGCCCTCCATCACACTGGACCCTCCCATTCCCAGAGATGGTGCTGGAGGGCTGGAGTCAGAATGGGGCTCTAAGAGGAGCAAAAGATGGACATCCAGTGCTGCAGAGGCCTCAAATTCTGGCAGCCTCTGGCCCTGCAGGGCTGGAATTAGCAAGGAGTGACCAGGGGCCTGTGCCCCCCTGCAACCCAGCACTATGTCATCCTGGGGATCTCATAGATTTCATAGACATTAGGGCTGGAAGGGACCTCGGAAGAACATCGAGTCCAGCCCCCTGCCCCAGGGGCAGGAAGTCAGCTGGGGTCATAGGATCCCATCAAGATAAGCATCCAGTTTCATCTTGAAGGTGTTCAATGAAGGCGCTTGAACCACCTCCGGTGGCAGGCTGTTCCAGACCTTGGGGGCTCGGACAGTAAAGAAGTTCTTCCTTATGTCCAGCCTGAAACAATCTTGAAGTAGTTTGTGACCATTCGACCTCATCATCCCTTGGGGCGCTCTGGTGAACAAACGTTCCCCCAGATACTGGTGGTCACCCCTGATAAACTTATAGGTGGCCATCAGATCACCCCCGAGCCTGCGCTTTTCCAGGCTAAAGAGCCCCAGGGCTCTCAGCCTGTCATCATAGGGTCTGCTTCCCTGACCTCTGATTATGCGCATGGCTCTTCTCTGGACTCTCTCAAGCTTCTCCACATCCTTTTTGAATTGTGAAATCTCTCCTCTTCTTCCTCGCTGTCCTGTCAAGTTAGTCCTGAACCCCCTACCACACCTCCCTGCAGAGCCCCAGGGAACAACAAATAATAATCCTCACCTGATCCAAAGGCCAATGGAAAATATGCAGTGAGTGCCCGCCTGGCTCCATGGGTTTTGGCATAGGATGGCAGGGACAGGACCCCAAATCATGCTCTTTTCTCCCCAGTTTTCCAGTCCCAGTTGCTGCCTGTGGAGTCTGGAGGGGATGTGAGGACACTTGAAGATTCTCCGCCCCTCTTCTGCAAGACCTGGAGAGGCTGGAACGGGTCACAAGTATAAAGTACTGCTAACCTCACCACACGCTACAGTGCTGTGGTGAAGGGGCAAATCACCATCTCCAGACCAGAGACGACTCCAGCAGCCCCTTGTACCTGCAGATGAACAGGCTGAGAGTGGAGGACACAGCCTGTTGTCACTGTGCAAAAGGTCACAGTGATGAGACGCCTTCTGTGCCTAATACAAATACAAAAACTTCTGTGCAAAGCTCCAGCCAGCTCAGGTCCAACAGCGAGCAGCAGCCAGGGCCTGAACAGATCAGCAGGCACATTCCTGCTTCTGGGCTCCAGCCCCTTCCATGGGCAGTGGGAATGACGCACAGTGGGGAACACAGAGCACCTGGTTCCTGCCCAGCTGGGCAGCAGCAGCCTGGCCTGAGCATCCATCCTCCTCCTTGCAGCAGCCAGCTCAGACCCAGCCAGCCAGGAGACCCCGGGCCCTGGGGACCGCCCCAGCACCTCACACAGCCAGGGCCAGGACTGCTTGCAAATGTCCCAGACAGACTGGATGGGGCTTCTCCAACACTCGCACCCCTGGGAAACACCCACAAG